AAAAGGAGAGAAATTTTAGTTTTAATAATATTTTCTGATGCATATACATTTACTTATGTTTTGTAGCAAGTTTGAGCTGATTCTGATCAAAATTGGATTCTTATGAATTTTTAAAGTTACTCAAAAATTTGTGTAAAACATGATTATTGACAAAATAATGTAATGAGATGCAAATGATATTCACGAGCATAATACTCAATGCAACATCATGGGGTCCTCTCTAAGTCACTAGAACAATTGCAACATGTGGAGTTAAATTCAATTAATTAACTGTTACTACTACATGTATATCCTTGCTTGTTTAGAACGAGTCAAATGTTTAGTTGTTTATACTGTATAGCGGGAAATTTTGGAGGGACTAAAATTTGGCAAATTGCTAAATTTTGTTGATTAGCAGATTTTATTTTGGCGAATTAGTGGCCATGTGCCATTGAGCATGTGTATAATGGCTCAAAATGGTAGATTTTATTTTGGTGAATGGCTATCAAAATGCCAAATTCACCAAATTTAATTCCCTCCAAAATTTCCCGCTATACGGTATTGATAGTTTAAGACAGGGTTAAGTTTATAAGTTAACCATTCAAAAATTCTATAGATTACTCTCTATTGATATATATACCGTATTTGCTTGATTAAAGGGATACTGGCGCAGTTTACGGAAGAGCTAGTACACGGAAAGTTTATAAACAAAAAATGGCTGTGGTGTACAAACACTACACACAAATTTTCAAGTACATGTTAAATAGCAGCTCAGTGTATGTGACCGCTAGTGAATCAAGTATTGTTCCTATTATATTAGGAGCTATTCGAACAGCATTTGTTAATATTATTATTACAAATACTTATATCCAGTCATCGTTTAGTGTACATTAGCAAGAATAACATTAACCTTCCTCTACCTGTCATGACATGAATCATATGTGTATACATGTACCACACAATAAGCTGACAACAGCCTACACAGGGTAATCATATGTTTGACTGTAAGATACAATGAACTAGCACATGATAGACAAGAGGACATGATAGGCAATGTGCTTAAGCAAAGGTTTTATAGTGATCAGTATTAAGTATAGACTCAGTAATTATATATACATTATTACTATTAATACAATATTCACTAGGTCAGTACAGTGTTTTTAGAGCTAGTGATGATGATGATACTCCCCCACCAGTACCAGCCTATAATCCTAATGGAGTACAAGAATACTCTAAACTGAAGAGAGAGGGAGAGGTATAATAAACAAAATACCAGACATACAATAACAATAATGTATAATAGAAAAAGAAAAAACAACAACAACAACAAGGAGCTGGTCCACTTTATTCAACACTCAATCAAGACGATGATACTCCTCCTCCTGTCCCTCCTGCCTATAATCCTGAGGGAGTACAGGAATACTCTGTATTGAAGAGAGAGGGAGAGGTCACTCATTAATGAGGATTGTTTAATGGATCATATAATGTATTATTAATAGAATAAGGGTCAACAGGGTCTGTCTACTGGTGCTACTGGACTATATTCAACCATTAATAAAAACACCAACAACCAGGTATGGATACATGTACATAATCCACTCTTGACATAATGTATTGGGTTTAATGAACTACACGTACTTATACCATGGTGCATGGGTGGTTACCATGGAAACCTTTGATGTTTAGCAGGAGTTATATGCCCATAACCACCCTGCTGACAGTGTGGGTTTTCACAGTTTAGACAAGAACAATACAGCAATGGTATCACAGTTTACATAAGAACAATACTGCAATACTTTACCATGGCATAAGTCAAATACATCCCTGTCTGGAGGTGGTTATGGGTACATAACTCCCTTGAGATAAGTGGTCTCAGGCTATGCCCTTGACCACTTATCTCCCGGGAGTTATGTAATATATAGAACATGACCCCGAGTGGTGTATCAGATATACACGAAAATGATATTCATAATCCCGAGGGCGTAGCCCGAGGGATTATGAATATCATTTGAGTGTATATCTGATACACCCACGAGGGAAAGGTCATGTTCTATATGGCTTGTATAATGGGAAGCCATAAGAAGGAAAGGTTATGCGCATGCTCAGTAGCACGTGGTACAACTGTAAGGCACCAATATGGCTGAAGGAGAAGGAGAACCATAAGAAAAAGCAGCAAAAGAAGCGAATGAAAATGTGTAAAGCGCTCAATAAAGGTTAGCCTTCATTAGTGCTGATGAAATTGAAGAAATTAGTACAGGTTTTGAACCCTTGGACACTAATAGAGATATGAAGGTACTTACGCAATGGCGGTGTGGTGGTAAAAATGTTAACTAGCAGTAAAGAATACTCTTTAGATGTTTCTAGAGGTACAGAATTCATCTCAAATTGACTAGTAGGAGCTACACTTGTTGATGAAAGGTCGTCGCGATGACTGAAATCATTCTGGAATATAATGGGCATGCAATTCAATCAATCTTTGCAGAGTAAAGACTACTATTATATCAGTTTATTTACAAAATCTTTTATTTATAACATATTTTGCTGTTTTACAAATGACCTTTTGTTATCATTGTTATCACAACTGAACAAGCCAAGCATTACTTCCGGTGCAATCGGTGCCTTTAATCATAGCTATGTCACATCCTGGTAAATATGTATATTGCACCGGAAGTGATCGTCTACCAGATATAAACCCAACTCGGTGCCTTTCATCTTATGGCTTCCCATGATACAAGTACCCATAACCACCTCCAGACATTATGTGTATCCTACACATAATGTATTGGGTTTAATGAACTACATGTACATAATGTATTGGGTTTAATGAACTACATGTACATAATGTATTGGGTTTAATGAACTACATGTACATAATGTATTGGGTTTAATAAACTACATGTACATAATGTATTGGGTTTAATGAAGTACATGTACATAATGTATTGGGTTTAATGAACTACATGAACATAATGTATTGGGTTTAATGAACTACATGTGCATAATGTATTGGGTTTAATGAACTACATGTACATTATGTATTGTATCATGAAAAGGAAGGGAAGAGGGGTAATGGGTGAATTGAGTACATCCTTTTAGCTTTTAATGTAATTAGGTGAACTTATCCTTATGTAATCTGATGTACCACCTTATAGTAACTAATAACACATACCATAAGTACATGTAAATGCATTAGTATAGGTATGTACATTAGTATAAGGTATATTAGTACATAAGGTATCTACATTAGTAATTAAGGTTCATGTTGTTATATTCAATAGGTGTTAGTTGATGAATCAGCTCATAAGCCAGTGTATGCTGATCTGGCTATTGCTGCTAAAGGGAAGAGACCACAGGCAGCACCAACACAAGAACAACCAGTGGTATATGCATCAGTTAACAACAAAGTAATGATAATGTACATGTACATGTAATGGTATCTTATGCATCCTCTCTCTCTCTCTCCTCCTAGTCTGTTCCTCCTCCCATTCCTCCTCCAGCTGCTCCTCATAAAGTATTGTATGCTGATCTATCAATAGCAGCTGGTAAGAGAACACCAAAGAATAAACCACCCACTGAGGAAAGAGTAGTCTATGCAGCAGTCAATGGAATTGTAAGCCAATACACATTATACTGTATGGAGTGACACAACCATTATCTCTCCCCCCTCTCTCTTCCTCCCTCCCTCTCCTCTAGAGGAAGTCCACTACTCAAGAGCTGATCATGGATAGGTTAGGTGGTCTGGATATTCCTCCTCCAATACCACCAAAACCAAAACCTTGAAACCAACACAAAGACATCAATCCTCCCTTTCTCCAGTAGTATAGAATGGACATACTTTAGTATAATGTATTGTGAAACAATTAACTCTATCTTGTATTCACTCTCTCTGTCTTTCATTATAATGTCATGGTAGCTCCATTCCTTTATTCAGGTCATCTGAGCATGAGCAGTACACAGTACTGGGAACACCTATACCATGCATCTGAACATGAGCAGTACACAGTACTGGGAACACCTATACCATGCATCTGAACATGAGCAGTACACAGTACTGGGAACACCTATACCATGCATCTGAGCATGAATAGTACACAGTACTGGGAACACCTATACCATGAACACCTATACCATGCATCTGAGCATGAGCAGTACACAGTACTGGGAACACCTATACCATGCATCTGAGCATGAGCAGTATACAGTACTTGGAACACCTATACCATGCATCTGATCATGAGTAGTACACAGTACTGGGAACACCTATACCATGCATCTGATCATGAGCAGTACACAGTACTGGCCTGTTCTTTTAAAAAATTATTTAAGTAATGCACATTAAACTAAAAATCAAAATTAAGGGTCAGTGTAGCCTACATTATGTGATACATTACACCAGATCCATTGATGAATACACAAGATAAAAGTATCAATCTTTTAATGTTACACTAGAAGTTATTACATTGTCTATTGTCTCACAAGTGGTCCAGTCAATGAGATTGATATGACTAACGGGTTGTTGAAGAAGGACCTCCTCACAGGATTGACCCTTTACACTCCTAGATACACCACATGTATACACATGGGTAGATATAATGAGTAAAGTTTCTTCACTGCATGTATCTAATGGGGCAAACGCATGATTTGACTTGTAGTAACAACAAAGATTATGTGTAAAAATTTTGATAACATTTTAAAAACTGTTACATAAAATAATAATATTATTAATAACTCATGTTGAGTGGCTGCAGCTATAAAAAGATAATAATATTAAGTGAAAATTTTATTTAGTTTACAATAGTAAATTGTCTAGTGTATTTTTTGCTTTACCAAGCTGCTCTGGATAATCCTGACACACTTCAATTAGTTTATCCCAATTAACATCTTGACCTGAATCCATCCACCTCTGGAAGACAAGACGTAGGTTAGTAACAGTCATGGTAGGTAGTGGCTGAAGATCAGATACATCAACACCTAATCCTATTCCTATTAGCTCATAATGATTAACTGATGGCATGAATATCTTCATTAGTTGTTTCAGCTCTGGTGTCTTTTCTGTAAATAATAAAATATTTATGATGCTACATGAACTATAGTTCACTGTACACTCACTTTTACATTTGTCGGATGACACTTCATCAGCAGATGCTGCACAAGGAACTGAATCTGTAGCTGGT